TCCCAGTTGTACATATTGCAGGGAATCACAGAACCAATTTTGAGACATCGAGACAAGTTCAGTACCATGGTGGAATTCAGTTTGGTACAGTACCTCTTGTGTTGGGTTCTGGGTCGGTTCTGAACACTGCGAGAGAAAACGTTGGTGATTCCGCTTTGCCACCAGTTTCATCGGATGGACTGTGTTCAAATGTCAGGGGTGGACGCATGGAGCGTAGGTACCGTGGTGTTATTGATGTCTGTGATGCTTTTAGGATCGTTGAAGGTGACAGTTCTGAAAAGGGGCCTTCTGATCAAGCACTTGGTTTGGTTTCTACTACAGAGTGTGCTTCGACTCTATTTGATTAACAATAATTCTTTGGTAGAATTTTGGGAACCCGAGAGTTGGGTTCAGGTGTCGTGTGTGGATGCCTTGCAGAGGAAGATGGTTTAGTGATGGAGAGTTTTAGTTATTGTGTTGAGGAGTTTAGCTATTTCGTTGCAGACGGATTTGAAATCTAGGAGTTTTGTTCATTGCAACAATATTTCGAGTCAAGGTGGAAATTGTTAATTATTGCCTCAAAATTTGGTCAAGATTTAGAAGACAGTGTGTGTCTTAATTTTGGAAAGAAATCTTATTGGAGCCAACTGAAAAAATGAAAGAATATGTGTGTGTGCCGTGTACTGTAAATGCGGACACGTTTTTCCCTTTTTTTCTTTTATGTGGGGTTTTTTTAATTTTCATCTTTTGCCTAGTTTTAAGGTTTGACTCGTGTACTATAAATATAGGTCTCCTCTTTCAGTTTAAAATAAGCCAATGTTGCTGTGACGTTGTATTCTCTCCATATTGTCAATTAATAATACATCTCGCCTCTGCGTTAATTCATCTTTTTTCTTTACTTTATACTTTGATATATATTTTTATATTGTTGCAATCCATATTAACTTCATATCGCGTCATTAACTTCGTTCTTTACAATCCCTCGATCCGAGATATGAAATTTCAGTGAGCGAATTGAGATTAGGAGAGTGTGGCCTTCTCGAATGACTACTTGCTATGTCTTCCTTTGGTTACAATTTTATTCAATCAATACAGAAAAATTTCCTGCACTTATTCTTCTTTTTCTTACTATTACAATTGAATCCTACCAAACTCTTATCTCAAATCCTCTACTGAACTACCTCCTTTATTTTGGCTGTCATTTGGTCTGAATTGGGATATCCCAACTTCATCAAAGATTGCTGGCGTTTTCTCTGTAGCCATCCTTTTTTCCTTACGATCCCTCTCCTAGTTTTCCCAATGACGCAGTAGCTTGTCCAACTTCTCCATGATGCTAGAGTATATTAGTTAAAACTTTGCTTGCAATGATTCCAGGTCAATTTGTAGCTCCTAGTGGTTGCTATCTACTTTCTTCTCTAAATCATTCACCCTATCAGTAAGAGTCATGATGCTCTGATGCCAAATTGATAGGTTCCACCCCAGGTTAATGAACACATAGCATAGGGACATAAATTAGGATATGTATTGATTGAAACTAGATTACAGAAAATAGAACAGGAAAACAATCAGCCTGTCGAGAGGACTGTAATTTCCATAATATGGTTTTGACTCACTATTTTGCCTGCCTATTCTCCTCTGACTCTTTCCTATTTATAAGCTAATTATAATTGGTTTTTTCTCCCCATTCTAGCCCTCTAACAAGAGCTTGTTGTAGCCTCAGTCTTCACCAATCTTTTTGATCCTTCTAGAATATGTTTATTTAATTGGAGCCTATCACATACCTCTTCAAAAAATTGCAATTTATACTTGTATGTATTTCTTAATGTGTTCTCCTTGTTTCTTGTTATACTAACTATGCCTTGTATGTGGTTTATATAAATATTCCCTTCAAACTCTTGTATCGGAGGCCATATGTCATTCAATATATCCATTTTGTTGGCAGTTATGATTTCTTGGTGCCCACTTTGACATGTCTAGTGAACATTGTTGATTTTTCAATATGGTAATATGCCTGTGAGTACTAATATCATTATCTGAATCCAAGAGAAATTCCATCCGATCTTTGAATGTTTATTCTGTTGAAGCATGCTTCATTCTATTACTATTTTTCAGCAGAGTAGACTGTATTGATGCTCCCACGCCATATATGATGGGCCTTCATTCAGGGGTTGATACTTATGGGCTGATGATGGCTGGTGCAAGTTCTGTCCTTGGATTTAAGTAGTGAACCTTCTTTGTCACATGCCAACTTCCTTTTTCTCGTTCATCCATTTTTTCAAATGTTTTTAAGTAAATCTCCTGTTGTATGCATGATGTTGTTTTATGCCGTATATTATATGTTGATTTTGATTGCTTATTATGAGGACGTCGAAAAATCAGACGGAGATGTCGGACCGCTCTTGTGATCTGTATTTATAGGTCATTTAAAGTGTAACTACGGCTGTCATTACTATATGTTCAATCTACCAAGACCTAGAATTTCTTATCATCTGGGACAGTTTCCTTTAGAACTCAGTTAAAATTCAAACTTACAAGGACACTTCGATTTGCGAGAAGATTTTCAGGTTGCTCTGTTAAATGATATTTAGGATTGCTTGTCCTCAAACAACAAAGAAAGAAGGAAAGAGTTTATATATGATGGCTAGGTGGTACAATTAGATTTTTCAAGTAATGCCTCTTAGATAATGGACCCTGACTGCCAAGATGATTTCCGTTAGACGTGGAGACTAATTTACAGCCAATAAATAGAATAAAATACAATTTTTAATTTGAAGACAAATGTCTGTTAGAAGAATGCTGATCTACCAGGCTGAGGCTTACAGGCATTGTACAGCCTTCTCACAATGAGGAGGGCCCCAGGTCAGACCCACTTGTAATAAAAAATCGCAAAAATGTCGACCCCACCTGTTTTGGTGTGAGGGCCTGTAAGACCCCTGTGAGGAAGGGGTCTGGCAGTCCAGCAAGTTTAATGTCTGTTATAGGTAATTTACACAGTGAAATATAATGGCTGCATGAGAAGGTTATTACCAGGGGCGGAGCCAGGATTTTATTTCAGTGCGGGCAAAATTTTTTTGACGACAAATGTCGAGGTTTTGGTCAGGGATTTAATGACAATAAAAAAATAAAACAATAGTACATCAATACTAAAAACGACATAATTTATATATTACACTTGTTCTTTGCGAGTTTTCATACTTTAATATCGTTGTATAATAACTTTATTATTGAACCTGAAAAATATATCTTTCTCCACATAAACAATTGTGTTATCATTCATCCACTAATCACCCAATTACTACTAGGAGTGGGAGTAATTCGAGATGTCAAATGAATCACAAATACTGGAAGCAACTTATTTTTTTTTTTTGCCCAAAAGTTCAGTGCGGGCATCTGCCCGCGCTGGGCGTGTAGTGGCTCCGCCCCTGGTTATTACTATAGTTATTGTTATACATTACTAACTCTAATTACAATGTTCTTCGGTACAAAATCTTCTTTACTTTATATCTGATAGTCTTCAAATTTTTGCAACAATTTTCATTAATGCATCAGTTATTTTTGTATAATTTATTTTTCTGAAATTAGTTACTCTAATAAATGAGAATAGTATGATAGATCTTTAAACTGCGACCTTTGCCAATCCTCAAATTTTTGTAGCCAAAGCGTCTTGTCTTTGCTTGATATATGGTTAAATTCAATATATAAAATTTATAGCATCAAGATATCATCATGTACAAATGTTGTTTAATCTAATTTCACAATAGATCTATATTTCAGATGTGATATTTTCCCCTCTAATGTGGTGTACGTAGTTGTGGTTGACTTTGAGCCTAATCACATCACAACATCAGATGGCGTTTCCCCCTTACCAGAACCAGAGTACTGTTATTTGAAAGATAAAATTATGAGATTATTGTATCCAAATGTTGTTGGAATAGACCAAATGAAAGACGATTATTTCTCCGAGCAATATCCTAGTAGTGGCAGCAGGCCTTGGGGAAAGGATCACAACCTCCAACTTTGGTGATTCTTGGTGGCCAACTCAAATTTTATGGTCTGATATCCATTTCCTGTCTTCCTTTAGCCTGGATAGTTGAGTTAAATAAATTTACAATCGAAGCAAGCAACTAATTAAATACCAAGAAAGCAATAAAGAAAGAACGTATCAAATTTACATGGAAAAACCCTCCAGTGTAGTGGGGAAAACTACGGGGCAACTCTGACCAAATTCACTATAATAAAATAGAGTTTACAACACTCATGTTTATTCCCAAAACTTGAGTTCTCAACAAATTGGGAAATACAAACAATATATATATATATATATAGCAATCTCTCTGTCCAACCCGTCGAGGAAGGAGATTATCCTCTAACAAATTAGTTAGAGTCCACGTCAGCCCGTTCGACATGAAGCTCAAGCTTCTCTCTAATCACAGCCTTTGTCATCGTATCAGTTGCGTTCTTTTCGGTATGAATCTTCAGTAACTATATCAATTGTTCCGCTACTACTTGTCATAGCCAATGGTATCTTACATTAATGGGCTTCGTTCGAGAATGATAAGCAGCATTCTAACTCATGTCTAATGTACTCTGACTATCGCAATTAACTATATACCCATCTTGCTCAAACCCAAATCTTAAAGAAAGTGTTTCATCTAAAGCATTTCTTTTGTTGTTTCAGTTGCTGCAATATACTTAGCCTCAGTTGTAAATAAGAAAACACACTTTTATAGTTTTAAGTGTTACGAGATAGCTCTTTCTATAAAAGTAACCAAATATCCTGAAGTTGATTTTTTACCATCAATATCACCAGCCATATTTCATCTATAAAGCCCTTTAAAATTGGTTTTAAACCTCCAAAACTCAAGCACATCTTTGAGGTACCTCTCTATTATCTAGAGATCTATTTCACTTCCTCCCAATGATCTTTACCATCATTAACAAGAAAGCTGCTGACCATCACAATTGCATAAGCAATGTCTGGCCGTGTACATACCATAGCATACATCAAACTCCCAATTATAGAGTAGGGAATTAACATCATTCTTTATTTATCTGCCTTCTTAGAAGGACAAATAAGCTTAGCCCATGTTTGGGAACAATTAAATTTAAAATAATAGGAAAAATCTGACCGTTGGTAGTCAAGTATAAATTCGTTATTCCAACAAAAACCAGACTCCTTTTCACACAATTGCAGAGTCCATAATTCATCGTTGATCAATTACCAAGTTTGCCCTTGTTTTCATTCATTCCAGATGCAATAGTGGTGACTTTTACTTTTCGGGGTTGTTGAAGTTTTCCACTATAATGAAGCTGGCAAGGATGCAAATTTAATTTAAACATGGTGGGGGCCGTGACTTGACATCAAAATCAAATTTTTTCCCACCACAATCGTTCCCAGACAAGCACTTACTCAATTTGAAGTGACTACCAAGTGTTGTCCCAACTGGTCTTGCATTCTTCATGTTAAACCTTATCAAGACTCTTTCTACATATTTCTCCTGTGGTAATCATAACTTTTCAGCTTTTCTATTACGATGAATATGCATCCCCAAATTCCAAGATCCTTTATGTCAAATGACTTGAACAAATCTACCTTCAAACTGCGAATAAGCTTAACATCTTGTCCCACTATCAACATATCATCTACATGTAGCAAAAAAATAAAATGAAGTTACCACCATATAATTCGTTGACATAAACACAATGATCTACATTTGTAGGAGAATCGTTCGAGAATGTTTAGGCATATAAGCAAGGGTGATTCGATGGGATTTGGCTTTTCAATTCCTATTTTGTAATAGCTGTTGATAGATTGAAAAGGTGAAAGAGAGTTCATCAAATCGAGTTAAGACTAGCATAATTGATACTTGCATAACAGAGAATTCATTTTCATCAATCAATCAGCATATTTAGCCCACAAACAAATCAAATTTCATTTCTGCTAATGTTTTTCTATTTATATTAGCCTCTGATCCTAATATCCCAATGGAATCATACTTCAGATCATAAGAAAAACCATGATTTTTGTTTCTATGTTCTGCACTACTCATAAGTCTTTATCCATCACATTATTTATCTGCTCTTATGCGCTGATTAGAACATACAATACTACAATAGTTTTTTAATCTACGCAATCTGCAAAATCAACTTAAAGGAACCAGAACAATACCTCACCACATCGGCCAGAAAACTGAACGGGCATTCTGCAATTAGGTTTCTAAGGCCACCGGCTCAACTCCGTCTGCTTGTCTCATCCTTCGTTTATTCACTTAAAACTGATGTGAAAGGAAAAGGAAAGTAGTTGAAAAAAATCTTGAATTAAGCCGTAATTGTAACGTGAATTCATTTTAACGCCCCCAAAAGCTCATAAAAGAAACCTTAATTGGAGGAAGACGCCAGAAATAATCTCAAGAGATAGGGAAAAAAAATGGTGTTCAATATGAATTTCTTGAGAACAATCTTAAATCCCCAATTTCGGAAAATGGAGCAGTCATCGAATTCGTATAACATATAATGTATAATAGGAGAGGAATTGATTCTTATCGAATTATGAGAAATACATTCAAATCATCTTCCACATTCTTCTGATGATCGTTTTTCATAAGAATTTTTTTGAATTAGATGAAGTTTTGGAGAACACAATTAATGGTGCGATAACAATTAGGTTACAGATGTCGGGCTTAACAACGATTATCCTGCAAGCTAGCTATAATAGATATATCACAGGAGGAATACAAAGAAAAAATGCCCAAAAGATAGAGAGAATTCTCTAAAATTCAATTCAACTTTCTCAAAACGCAGAATGATGAAAAATAGCCCCACAAGTCGGTTTAAATAGCTGAGAAAAATTCAAACTTATGAAAATTTTACCTAAATAGCAAGAACCCAATATTCATTACAGAATAAAATACATAATAAAAGAAATATCCTACCAAAAATCTTGCTCAAATCGAGTTTGTAATCATCTCTAAAAAGGCAACTAAAATATTACCATAAATGGAAAAAATGGAAATTTGGAAATGAAAACGATGGATTTTGGCCTCGAAACTTACGCCCGCGCGTCGAAAAGAGTTTTCTGAATTGGGGTCATAATTGCGATTCTAATAACGTTAGCCAAAATTATGACCAAATTACCAAAACGTGTTCAAAACTGCTCCAATTAAGAAAAGATCACGATCACTTGTCATCTTTACGCTGATTTGCCAACTCATGATATCTTAGCACTATTAACATGCTATCTGACAACTTAGCATCACTTGACTTAGAACCTTTGCATCAATTAAGGGAGTGAGTGATCATGGGTAAATATATTTTACCACACTATTATTCATGTTAGATATATATTTAAGAATATAGAATTTATATAATTATAATTTTTAAGGTAGGAGTTAATTGTCTCAATAATAACTTAACTAATATATGTGTCTTTGATAGCTTATTGAAGTTTAAAATATCGAGTTTTGACCATTAATTTTATATGAACATAAACATTACTCACTAACATAACATTCATTTCGAACGTCTAACCGAAATTGGTGACATGACTAATTGAATGCATGGAAGGTGTCCCTTCACACCATTACCAAATTGTCAGGTAAGAAAACATTTTTCATTGCTCATTGAATTTTGAAAAATGTCTTCAATTGGTGGTCGAATTTTGATCATTAAATTTACAAAATGACGTTTGTAAGTTGTTCACTGAAAAATGCGCACCACAAGTGCATGTGTCGCATATGAGTAATAAAGTGCACAAATGATTTCTAGTTGTCGATTCAACGAGGAATGATCAATTACATGATGATATAGGTTGGTAGAAGGAGACACCCCCGAGGACGAGCAAGGCAGATCACAGCACACCGATGCAAGGCCATCGACCCTCATAGTGCGTTCTACCACTACATTTAGGGAGCGCTCTACCACTACGTCTAGGGAGCGCTTTACCGCTACCCGAAGAAATCATTCTACCACTAAGCGAAATCTTCAACGGGAATGATATCCTTTGTCCAAACACTTAGCCATAAAACCTTTAACGAATCGACAAGGTTACATGGCCGCTGATACAGGTACAATCTTCAGACGGGAAGTTAAGGGCTCATCACTCAGAACGTGGGTGTAGTGGGAATATCATCGTGGGACACGTGGCATCACAACCGCCCAGCGGTTACCTAGTGCCTAATATCTATAAATACCCCCGGATGAGACGCAGGTAAGGGATGATTTTTTTAGCTCACATTCTCGTTTTTAGCCATCTGATTTTCAAATATATTCTTTCCAAGTCTGAAAACTAATTCTCACGCCGGAGGTAAAACGGGGGAGAAAGCCCCGCCTTCATTTTGCAGGTCTTGCATACTTGACGGAGTGGTGGAAACGCCAAACATTACCGGGTAACTAGAAGGGTGTTGAATCACCACCTTTCACATGATAATGAAATTTAGTTTTAACAATGAAAAGCACAAAAATTTGAATTTTGCAAATGATGCAAATATTTAAAATTCTAAAAAATAACGAAAATGATTTACAGGCATGAGTGTTACAAATTTAGGGAGACCAATGCCATAGTTATTAAAAGTTGTGAATCATTGAAGAATACTCACTTCATCCCAATTATATAGGCTAAGTTTACTTTTTTTCTTATCCCAAATATATACTCACGTTTCCTAATTTAGAATATTTTATTTTATTTCTTTACCAATATATCCTTATTCAATTTTTCTAACTTAATATGCAAATTTTTTGAAATCATCAAAATACACACATTTCTCACTTCTTGGAAACATGGAACAACTCTCATTTCTTATTTTTCAAATTAAATCATTCAAATTCTTCACTAATTCCAACAATAATTTACTACTACATGCTAAAAATTAAATGAGGGTAAACTATGAAAAGTTTTGGCAAAAATTAATTTTCCAATAATATTAAAGAAGATTTCTTAATCTGTATGAAAAACAAAACAAGCCTATATAATTGGGACGGAAGGAGTATCTCTTTAAAATATTCATGAGATTGTGGCAAAAAATGGAAATATGCCATATAATATTTTCGCTGGGGATTAATTTATTTTGTTTCATTGCAGCAATCACGAGATAGGAGTAAGAGGTAAATATTGGCTGCTGAAATTCAAATTTTCAACGAATATTAACTGTAAATTCAAATTAAAATTATTTTATTTTGAGGCGTCACTTGTTGTGCTTTGCCACATGGTGCCGATTCACCGAAGCCCCTTTGCCAAAACTGACCAAAGTGCACTAAATTTGGACCATCGAAATCCAATTTAACCGAAGCGGTTCCATGTGAATGGTAATGCCTAATCCCCTTGCCAAAGTGGTGAAGCTCAACAAGGTCAAATCCAAAGCTTTACTGTGATGAGTCGCAACCCTCATTTAAAGATCCTTAATTCATGAAATCTTGTTGGAATGATTGATTTGGCTTCTGTTACAAGTAATATGTCAAAATCTTGTCAATATAGGTTGTAGGGTGATTGCGCTTTTGGGGAGCATTTAATTCGCGATAAGTTAGTTGGGTCAAAATTGATACCTAGAATAAGATGCTTCAATTAAGGAGATGAAAACATGTGTCCCCTCATCCAATGGTCACTATTTCACATATAATACTATAAATATCCTCCATTTTGTATCATTTGAGGGTAATGCTAATGCAACAACTGTAAGCTACATAGTCTCCCTTTTTGAGTTTGATCTTTTGTTGATAAAGTAAGATTTTTGATTTTGACATTTAGCTGGTTTTTTGTTGATCGTTCCTTATTGTGTAATTTCGCTTATATATCTTGCTAGTGCCCCCAAACATATTTGTTTCGTGTTATCAAGCTTCTCCCACATTTAATTTCGAGATATTGTCGACTAGTCATCTGTCTATACATACTGGAATTAGCTTGCATGGATATGAGTAGGCTCGGTATTAGTTGCCCATGTCAACGGTACAAAAAACAAGGTCAACAACACTTGTGTCCCTAGTTGAAGCAAGTCAGATAAATATTTGCTTGATTAACAAAGAGGAAATTATTTAAGATGGATCAAGTTGAAGAGATGATGAAAAACAGTACAAATTTTTTTATTTTACCTTAAAAATCTTATTTTTGTTGATATTTCAAGAGTATCACCTACATTTACCTTCTTCATCTCTTCCACCATGGTGCGTCCTGCATGCCTCCATGCCCTCTCCCTCACTCCAGCCTCTCCTTAAGTTCCTTAGTAGCTTAGGAGACTCTCAAATAGTTCTAAGTATGTACTCAAGACTCTTCAAAACTCTCACAAACATGAACAAATAGGGGATACATGGAACATAGGAGACAGTTAGAAGACATTGGGCACAACAAACAATAGAGTGCCCGTATTAAGAAAGAGAAAGCCCTAAATATTCAAATGTGATCCATAATAGTTTTTTTAATTTTTAAAACTATTTCTTACTCAAAGGATCTTATCTTGGATCTCACTTCCGGTGAAAATTAATTGTGGAATCTTCTAATTTGTGTCCGACTTGATGTTACACTATATTATTTTTTAGCCGTGCTACAGGTCCCAACTCGAGGACCGCCCCAAAAGTAGGGGTCACCTCAGCCCACGATTTCAACTTCATTTTTTTTCAGATCCAAGGGCCGAGGTGTTGCCACCTCGGCACCCTAGATTTTGGTCGGTCCTCGAGTTGGGACAAATTGCATTTCCCATTATTTTTTGTGGTGTAACGGGTGCAAGAGTTGGTAAGAATTGCTGTAGGAGTTAGGTCTGAACATTTGGTGAGTCGGTCCAGATATTTCAATACCCGAAATCGTCCATTATACTTTAGGTATTTTGTAAATGGTGAGTCACTCCCTAAAATATGATTCTTCATATCTTCTTCCTGGTTAGAAACAACAAATCGATTCCGGTCTCAAAAAAGTCTACATTGCCAGCCTCTTATTCATTAAAGAAATAACAATTTCATATTTCTAACCTAAAAATATCATAAAAAGAAAAAAAAAATAAAAGATCATATTATGAAGCAGTCTTTTGAATTATTGGAGAGAGAGAATTGTTACATTATGGCGTTTGGAGTTATATTGTATTATTAGAAGGTAATAAAACTAAAGAAAAAGAAAAACTTATTAAAATATTTTTTAATAAGATTGTTTTTAACTTAATTAAGGGAATTTTCTTACTAAAAAATTAGTTGTATGAATTTTTTTCTTACTCGTAAGAGATATTTTTATTTATAAGTATTTTGTTTAAGTATAAGTGAGTAAAATAGGATAAGCAACTTGGACTAATTTAATCAAGATACTAATCGCACCAAACGTCAGAAAATATTAAATAGAATCATTTTATTCCTTATTCATTCTAATACGATGCGCCAGACATCCCTTTAGATCAATAATAAAAAACTAATCTCAAATTTTTATAAAGTTGAGGTTTGTTTAAATGATTTCCTTTTTGCTATTCCTTCAACTTTGTCGTTAAAAATATTCAATCATCATTTGCATCATAATCTTCAATAAAATTTTACGATTATTGTCAAAATGATACCCCTCATTTACACATGTATGAAAAACATAGACGGAGTTTTTCAAAACACTCAACTAGCATCAGTGGCGAATTCAGGATTTTAATTGAGCACAGGCGGCCGTTGACTGTCGACGGTCGCAATAATAACTAATGCCGTGAGTTGAAATTACTTAGCCCCCGTTTGACCCCCATTATTTGGATTTATAATGGGGAAATAATGTTTTTCTAAAAAAAAAAAAAAAATTGATGTTGTAAAAGAAAGAAAAGTTTTCGATTTACGTGTAATATTATTTTATTGAAAACTGTATGGTTGAAAATAGGAAAGAAATTTTTTTAGTTTAAATTGATAAGTTTTAAAGGGGGTCAAACTAGGGCTTATATCGTAGTTCAAATTGTAAGTGTGAGTGTACATTATCTACTAGTATAATAATGTTTATTGAGTAACAATTTGAAATTTTGACCAATTATTTACTTTCTTGGTTCGATCCGCTAATAATTTCAGTTTAATAGAAAAAAAAAGTGACTATTTTAATAATCTCACTGTCTGGTGAATTTTATTTTTCTAAAAAGGAGGGTGTATATCATTGGGATAAAAGAATATATAGACTTTTGTTGCCTACATTGTTAATATCCACTAACCGCCATAGTGGTCAAATTGTCCATTATTATAATGGAGGTCATAGGTTCGATTCTTCCTCCCTCTTGCACCAGTTTTAATGCCTTTTTGCTCCAAAATGGTGAAAAATATTATACTAAAATCATTGAAAAAAGGATTGCAACAATTGAGAATCGAACCCCGAATGCCCTTTCCCCACTGTGGTGCTCTAATCAGCTGAACAACAAGGACTTCATGTGAATCAAAAGAAATCACAGAAATATATCTAAATAAACAAATACTTCGACAGCAAAAAAAAAAAAGAGAGCTCCGGCGATCCAGCACGAACCGCCGCGAGGGCTCGCCGGGTGCTGGATCCGCCGCTGACCAGCATACATTAGAGGTTAAAACATTGGAGGTTACTTTACATTAATCCTAATTTCATGTAAGTCACTAAACTTGTTTTTTGTTCTAATTGTATCATTATAAAACTTAATTATATTTTTTCAATAAAGTCACTATGTTTATTGAATTTTAAAAATAATGGTTTTTCATAGATTGGTGGTTCATTGAATCCATTGAGAAACAGCTAAAAAGCCACATGGGTATACCTCACTGCACCCGCAGTAAAGCTGCCTGATGAAGATCCCCAAATTTCAGAATTTATTCTCCTTCAATCCTAATTTCACAATTCTTGTCCCTTTTCATTAACTAGAAATATTAAATATGCAACGTTTCAGTCCCCACATTCCATTTCCTAGTCATACCTTTCATGAAATAGATATGCACCTCTTAAAAATTTGAGACATTTTATTGCTAATGAATTTCGTTTTACACTTTGTTCTTTAACCATCTTTTATTCTACATACAATATAGGAAACAAATATAAATAGCTTGTTCACCATTTTTAATCATTATTCACTATTTTACTCTTCATGTCGTTTGTTTTTCACGTTCCGAGACTTTTAACATTTTTCTGTTTGTTTGGTCTTTCCCTCTCCCTATGCGTCTTATAATATGACAACTACATCTTATCAATTCTTTTTTTTTTTTTTTTTTTGAGAAATAGTTTAAATTACATATTAATAAAGACTTATTTACTTTTTCTTTTTGTCCTTTTGAGATTTTAAATCTTTTTATGTGAGTAATAAATCCAAATTTCATTCATTAGTGTGGTGCAGTTGTTTTAATTGGACTAGTCCGTCGATTTAATTATCATTAATAGTCATGTTTGATCATTATGGGTTTGAATTGGCCAAAGTAACAAAACCTTTAACTTTCTTGCTTTCTTTCTTTCTTTCTTTCTTCTTCTTCCTTTTTCTTTTTTCTTTTCTTTTTTCTTTTTTTAGTGGAAGACACCTGTTAAATCATTACGTGTTCAAATTGGCTAAAGTAACAAAAGGTTTTCTTTCTTTCTTTTTTGGACTAGTGGAAGATAGTGGGTTGCATGATTTGATGGTTAAATTGTGTATTCAATATTGTCTACATTTAAAATGAATGAAAATAAGTGCTTAAATGTTGTTATATGGATAGAATGAATTAAGATATCTAGAAATGGAGTTGCGTAATAACGCGGAAATGGGCTACGAGTTAAAAGTGGTGATACATAAATAGTGAATTGAAACGTAAATATAATGAAATACTTGAAGTTAAATGAAAGATAGAGAAGTGCTCATCCATTGATAAACAAAAATAATCTACGTGACTTATAGCTATGGTGAAGTCTCCATTAGTTTTTGATTTCAAGTGCCTAACATGTAAGTTATTTTCACTTGGAAAGAACATATAGGTATGGTGAGATGAATTCTTTCATTTGCTTCAATTTTCTATCTTTCAAGTCTGTGATAGGAGAGAGCAGAGATGGGACCATGTGCATTTAGTTTTGGTGGGAAGTCTACATCCATTCAATGAGCGGTGAAAAAATGGCTCAGAAATAGGAGAATAAGCGGTTACACACAGGAGCTTAACAGTAGTTTGGTGGGAAGTCTACATCCATTCAATAAACAATATTTTTGTAGCAATTTATTGTACTTTTTTATTCTCAAAGTCAACATTTCCAGCCTCTTATTCAATTAAGATATTGGAAATTGCTATCAACATTCTTAAACAGTGCATACTTGCATAGGAGAGAACAGAAATGGCTTATTCTCATCTTCTTTCTCTTACTCACATTCTACAGCGCACCTTGAAATATGATTGTTCTTATCTTCTTCCGGGTGAGAAACAACAAATCGCTTCCCTCCTCGAAAAAGCTGTTTACTTGCAAGATTTTCTTGATAATTTTCCAAAAGAAAATATTGAATCATTCGAAGGTTTGGAGAGAAAGATCAGCGATGCAGCATGTCAAACTGAAGATATCATTGAATTCTGCATTGCAGATCGAGTTCTTGAAGAATCTGCAAGTCATAGTGGTGACATCTTTACAACTTCATTCCATGAAATAGCAAAACTAATTGAAGAAGTTGATTCCATAAAGATAGGGGCAGGGAAGATTGAGGATGAGAGTGGCATACAGGAAGATTTGGAGCACAACACCTCGTTGCCTGCTGGTTCATTAAGGCCAGCTTCTTCAGGTCAGAGCACTATGGTTGGTCTTGATGATGCCATGGTGGAGATCATGGGTCATCTAGTCGGCAGTTCATCAAAACTTGAAGTTGTTAAATTGAAATACTTGCAATTATACAGGGTTGACCTAAAGAGCTGGAGAGCTGACAGTATCCACTTCCCAAGACTCGAGCGCCTAGTCATTTGGGATTGCTACGAGCTAGATGAGATCCCTAGTGGTTTTGAAGAAATTCCAACTCTTCAATACATCGAGTTGGATTACTGTGGTGATTCAATTGTAGAATCGGCAAAGAAAATAGAAGAGGCACAATTGGATTGGGGTAATGATGCCTTCGAGTTATACATTAAGACGATAGTTAAAAGGCGCTGAGTTTCAAAGTTATCCATTCCAATCATTTACTGGTAACATTATCTGTTGTGAACCTTTTTCATATTCATTTTTTAGCTTTCTTGTATTTGTCTACATTCTTACTTCATCTCCTCTGAATTTCGATACAGGCTGCGGTTTAAACCAACTTCAATGCAGGTGATGTACTTTAAGAGTGCAATTAAGTTTCTCTAAAGTTTGTACTGTACCATTTTCAATGCAGGACTTCATTTTAATGTCCTTGTTTGTCTATGTTGTTTCTTCTGCTTTCCTCTCTCTTTATTTGTGGTTTTCACATGAAGTTATTAATTGAAAAATCATGATTCATGTATCATTGTTCTTGCCAGTCTAGAGATTTACATTTTGTGTGCAGTACTATTGGGAACTTGAGAGTTGGGTTCATGTATCGCTTGTGGACGCCGGATAGACGAAGATTTTTATTTTTTATTTTTATTTTTTGTGATGGAGAGTTTTGATTACTGTTTTGAAGAGTTCCATTATTTCGATGCAATTGGACATATTTTTCCAGGTTGAAAAATTTTGGAGTTTCATTCGTTGGACTATAAATTGTCTCAAGGTGAAAATTGTTGAGTTTATGATCCAAATTAAGAAAAAAATTGTTTCTTTATTTTCACATGGAAAAAATTGTTTCCTTATTTTCAAGCGATTTTATTGAAAATATATTATTTTCTTATTTCACATTATTTTCATCTTTATGGTATAGTATGTACCTATAAATAGTGACATCTTCTTTCAGTTTAGTTCAAGCCAAATTTATTGTGCTTTAATTTTCTCTTCATATTGTCTTTATAATAAAACATCGTTTCCTCAGCTTAACTCACTTTGATTTTTTTACTTTAAATCTCGTTTCATCTTTGTGATTTTGTTACATATTTCATAAAACTTCGTTAATTTCAATTCTCGCATCGCCTTTGGTATCAACAAGTCTTACCAAATGTTTAGATAAAAATAGAGTTTGTTCAGCTTATAAGTAGTTATAAGCTTTACTGAACATGCACATTATTAAGGGATAAAATTTCACATTGAATAAAAATGAAATATAAACTAATTTATAAGAGTATTTTCAAAAAACTCTCTATTTCTAAAGAACATATTTTATTATTTAGAGAACATTTATAAATTTAAAGAGAAAAAAATTTGGAGCACTCTAACAAACTCTTTATATTTAACATTTAATTTTACTATTTCTATATTTTATTTTAACTAACTTTTTCTCTAGATTATTATATTATTTTCCTACATTGAAAATTGAAATATTTTGAATAAATTTAACTATAGAGAGTAAGTTTGACTCTCTAAATTAAAATGTTAATTTAATGAGTATTTTTTAGCATGATTTTAAAGATTGACTCTATAAAGTAGAAAGCATCTCGTATTTAAAAAGTATCTTGAAAATGGTCTAAGGGTTTATATTGGAAGTGAGTAGTATTACCTATTTTCCTAGTGTTGTTTCCACATTATCTTAAGTTGGTCTCACTTGATTTAATCCTTTAAGGAATAATTACCTAGTATAACTGAATTGTTGTAACTTTGGCCTAATATTTAGCCTCTTTAGTTTCTGTATTTACTTATTTAAAGGCTAGGAGTCTCTGCATTTTAAATGTATTGAAATATAGAGAGTTATTCTCTCTTATCTTGTTTTTCTACAATTTGGGTCACTGTTCTTAATGAGGTTTATCTTTCAAGACGGAGCCCATAAGATATTAGAGTCCATTACGCTCCAACGAGCGATTCGATTCAAGTAAAAAAAATAAAAATGAGGACAGAGATTTCAAGATTGGCCTACTCAAACGAGTTACCATCTTTCGGGACATATTAATGGATAAAAAATTTCATATCGAATAAAGATAAAAATATAGATCAATTCATGAGGATTTTTGCTACTTCTTTTAATAAGATTGATATTTTAAAATGAAATTTCAAATCTTGATACACATGTTAATGCGTCACTGAACATTGTGTAAGCAGGTCGGCAACCAAACAAATAGCGTTTGGGTTGACTCTTGGCCCAAACCTGTCATCTTTGTTTACTAGTTACATACTATTCTCTTTATCCCGATTCCTTATTAATATTCACATTTATTTTGATTTTAGGTAAGATGTGCAACTTCAGACCCACTACTAAACAACAGAGTTTCAGGTACGGATTTTCCGTTCCTAAAGTTTCAATATCCGCTGCTAATAATCTTTACCAACGGAATATTTGCAACCACAAATCCGTTGGTAATTTGAGGGTCGTTGATAGTTACCAACAGATCATGCCGTAGGTAAAGAGTAAACATTTTACCAACGAAAAATCCGTTGATAAAGTGTGAATCTTTTACCAACGAAATTTCTGTTGGTAAAAGTCTTAACCGATACCAACCGACTTTTCGTTGGTAAATATCTACCATTACAATTGGTGAAAATCAATATTGTAAATAATCGTATAGTAAAAAAGTTATTTATTTATTTATTTATTATTATTATTATTATTTATTTAATAATTATAATATTTTTTCATTTTTAGTCAACTAAATTGAAAGGTCAAAATATTGTTTAACTCCTTATTAGACCACAAATTTATAGAGAGCAGCTACAAAGATATTGTTGTAAACTTTCGATGTGGGATAAATGAATTATTTTTATCAACGGAATATCCGTTGTTGAAAGTTCAAAATGTTAAACGGTTATATTAGGTACGGAATATCCGTTGGTAAAGAGATATGATTTTTACTAACGGATAATCCGTTTCGGTAAAGAGATATGATTTTTACTAACGGATAATCCGTTTCTAATTACCAATGGAATATCCGTAGGTAAAAGATTAAAATGTTAAACGGTTATATTAGGCACGAAATATTCGTTGGTAAAGAGATATCATCTTTACCAACGAAAAACTCGTTGCTGATTATTGTAGCTAAAAGTGAATTACTTTTACCAACGGATAATTCGTTTCTAATTATCAACGGATGCAATCCGTTGGTAATATTCAGTACATCACCTACGGAATATTCGTTGGAGGAAGATCCAAATGTTAAACGATTATATTAGACATGGAATATCGGTTGGTAAAAAGATATAATCTTTACCAACGGAAAATACGTTGCTAATTATCGTAACTAAAAATGAATTACTTTTACCAACGGATAATCCGTTTCTAATCACCAACGGATGCAATTTTCCGTAGGTGAAAAGCTATTTTTTAGTAGTGACCTTGGAAGGAAAAGGATTATACCTGTGGGCGTAATGGGCTGCTTAGATTGTGGGATGCAACAATTAACATCAGTTCCTCTTCTCTGTATTGAAGTCTTGTATATGTGCATTTTTAGGTTAGAAAATAGAAGTATTTTGTTCCACATTGCTGAGAAATTTGATTGAAACGAAGGTTACACCGGAAAATGTAAAAAAACTTAAATCCATATCCTCGCGTTTCTATCAATCTCAATCTCAATCTTCTTTCCCAATATGATATTACGATGCCAATGTAGACTGAGATTCCATTCTGGTATTTAATAATGATCTTTGCAGGAACAAAGTGATCAAAATCTATATATTTCATTTACTATAGAAGTTCTCGAAGAATTTATCTCAGGGAATGTTTCCAATAAAAATGCAATCCCGTAGATTCATATAACTCAGAAAAAATATGCGAGTGATTCATACACAACATCTTTTTCTTATATCTATGGTTCTCTTTCCTCAGATGTTTAAATTTCTTGATCCATATATTAAATTTTTGAAACTTCTTGTGTCAAACTTTGACGAGTATTAATTAATAAATTTTATTATATGTCTATAATTCGTTATCCTTTCCAATTATATCCTGTACAACTTACCACTTCATTGATGGAGCTTCAGTTAAAATAAATAAATAAAATAAAAATTATCCATTAGTTAATGATACCGTTGGGATAAAAATGAGAGTGATCAGTTCGAAACTTTTTTGACTTAAGGTCTTTTTGTTATTTGTACCATCATATATGATAAAAAAATAATAAAACCAAGCACAACCTGCTTCATATCTTAATTTTCTTTTTTTTGTGCTTTATGTCCCTTTCCATTAGGTGAAGAGAAACCACATGAAGTGTCCTTCAAGTAAATTATTGTCATGTGGAAGAGTCGAAAAAATTTCATATTGGATATTATATACTGCTCCACCTGCTCGATTATAACGTTCATTCAAGCACAACGAGAGGAATAAAGCTAAAGAAACTCTTATCCTTCTTTAAGAAGTTAACGTAAAGTAAAATACTATTTCTGTTCATTGAATCTCTAAGTTTTAGTCCATCAAAAATCGGCGTATAAGTCTTCTTTATCCTATATTGAAAACTCTCGAAACTTTCATCAAATTGATTACGAATGATTGAGAAATGTTGAGTATCAATTTAGATTGATTTCAAGATAAGGACCAAGATTGCAAAGAGAAAAGGATGCAAGCTAAGCAAAAGAGGAAAAAGGGGACCAAACAGAAACAGATGGGAAAATAGGGGGCTATTGATTGAAAACCTCCAAGGGTTGTGTTGAAATTATCGTTATTGCTGGAACAGCCCCCAAATCTTGTGCACTGTGCAATCACAGTCCCTATACTTTTACAATTGCACAATTTGGTTCCGATTAAATTATCTTCTTTCCTTCTTTCAATCATACACTTTATGAAAACCATCTTCTTTACAATAGAAATCATCGATCATAAATACACCTATTTATTTGGATATTTCAAAACATTTAAAATTTCACAATTTATTACAATAGGAAATCCTCACTCTCTCAGTTATAGCAATTTAATTTAAAGCCACATGAAATCATTAATTTGCAAAGGATAAACATCAAATATAGAAATTAAACAAACACATATTTGACTTTCAATTATTACATAAATAATTTATGATAGAAATATAGAAATCAAACCATTCTTTGCCCCATTGGAGCTGCCATAGGAAACTGCTGTTGCTTCTGCTGCTGAGCCGCCACATTTCCCAGCCACCCTAAACAAAAGAACAATGTTTTTACTTTAAAGGACTTAATTGAAAGATTTTTTTTTTTTTTTTTCCCTTTTAGGGACAGAAAGAGGATTATCAATAATGAGACATAGTATTATTTTTTAATAAATTATAATGGTGGAAAAAACTAATAAAAATGTTTTACTATCAGAATAATGCTATATATATATATATAGATTTTTTTATAGTAGAGTTAAAGTCCTTGTTTGAGCCCCATTTTGGAGGAAAAAAAATGAATTTTTGAATAGTATATTGATAGGAAATGTGTGGTTTAAAAATAAGGAAAATTTTGAATTTACGTATAATATTATTTTATTGAAAAATGTGCAGTTGAAATGATGTCAAAATATTGTAAAAGAATACATTTTTTTCTAAATAATGGAGCTCAAACAAGCTGATAAGCTCAATAACAATTATGGAGTTTTGTGTGAGTTCCACAATCTTTATATTTGCTGATGAAATAAATAATAAGGCTTGTTTGATATAGACGTTTTTAGAATAAATTTTGTGAAAATTGATTTTTTGGAGAATATGCAGTTAAAAAGTAGGGAAAAATTATGGATCAATTTATAAAATTATTGTACAGGGAGAACGTGTGGTTAAAACTGAATTTGGAAAAAAAAAAATTAAAGAAATTTACCAAACATGAGCTAAGTCATAAAAGTTTTTCTTGCATCAATTCCTTGAAATCATAATATTATGATAGGCTTGAATATCTGTCAAGAGAGTTAGATACTCACCCCTTTGTTTAATTATTTATGTATTTATTTCTGGGTGGACTATTTTAATTTTTATTAAAAGGCATGTACTGATGTACAATTCATGTAACTTTACTCAATGGCCAACATGGATGCAAACTATAAAGAGGGACTAAGTTGCTAATTTTTTCGAAGGTTGAAGACTACAAGTATAAAACATCGAGCTACTTTTGCCTTGAGAATTAGTAGTGCATTCTCTTTGTGCTTTTTGGGCTCGATTTTTATAAAACTCATTTTCAATCACACACACTTCCATGAAATAATATTACACATAAATTCAAAATTTTTCCTCATTTTTTAACTATATATTCTAGAAAAAAATCACTATTTCGAAACACATTTTCCCAAAAATCTCATTTTGATAGAGCCCAAACATAGGCTAAATTTTCAATTTACGCTTGCATTTTAATCTTCTAGTTTAAAGATATTGTAATGACAGTTTTTATGTGATTGAGGGACGATAAGCAGTGGAACGTGTGTTTTTCATGGAAAAGAGGAGCCCTACTACTTGGACAATCTCCTATCCAAATGGGGGACGATGTGACGTCTTCCTAGTGGTCGGGTGTTTGCGCAGGGGATTGTCCAAGAAGAGTAAGCCGAGAGAGAGAGAGAGAGAGAGAGAGAGAGAGAGAGACGGAGAGAGTTTTACCAATAGCGGGGTCATAGCCTTTATCCTTGAGCTCTCTATATTCTTGACAAAGAGCACACCATTCGCAAAAGCAGTGAACTACCCAATCTGGCGCCGGAGTTTCAATTAGCCCAAATTTACTCCTCAACTTGGTTCGATAAGTGCACGACATTATGCATGGAATTGCTATGCAAAACGCAATTACCCCATACATCATTCCACTCGTCCCACATGCTACACAAAAAAATAAAAAATAAAAATAAAAATAAAATTAGAATAGACCCATCATCAGTTCAATTTTGTAGAGTTTTCCAAGAGGTTTGGACTATCGATTTTCAAAACGTTTTCGAAGCATTTAATATTACGTGTTATAGTAAATATTTTTGACTATCTCGAAAAATTTCATTGAGTTTTTCAAAAGAATAATACTATATAGAACTGCAAGTGCTAAGCACCAATTTAGTTGGTACCACCTACTTATAAAAAAGTGCCAGCAAAAGTGGGCTGGCAGGGTATTTCTGTAACAATCGAGGCCTCGAGCTCAATTTGTTATGTCTTATGTACTGTCAATTTTAAGAGAGTCCGAGCTCATCTTACTTTTCACGATTTTTTGTCGCGTCTTTCAGGATTCGAATACAAAATCTCTGTCTTATGGGAGAATATAAGGTAGAGGCTTTGGGTTCGAATTTTGAGGAACGCGATAGAAATCCATAAGAAATAAGATGAGTTCAATCCCAAAGCGAATAGTAGGTAAGTTAACAATTTGGGCAGAGACGTTCGGGTTGTCACAATTTCCTCAAGGATGCTCAGATGACACACTACAAGTGCTATCAGCAGCCAAGTAACCTTTTTACGACACCTTTTGGCCGGAGTAATTTATCAAGACAGTATTTGAAGTCGAGCCCATATCAAAACAGCAACAAAAGGTTTGTCTCTTGCAACATAAGCTTCAAGTTTTTTATAAAGGAAAAATGTTATAGACTTACAGGTATGTCCAGAATCAATTATTTCTGCAATCTGTCCAAATGTTACGCAGGGGAAGCACGCAGTGATGAGAGCTGAAATATACAAACGGAAGTAATTTTTCTACTGTAAATTCATGGAAGGAAGCTAGCTAGAGAGAAAGAGAGATGATTACCATTTTGAGGATCATTCATGCAATCAAACAAGTCACTACTCCAACCATTGGGAGTAGTAGGTACTGCAATCTGAGTAGCCGGCCGGTTAAACGGAGAACCTTGCATTGCCGGATGCCCGACCGGTACACTACCGTGTACTGGTGGAGCAGCAAAGTTTTGTCCCGGCTGAAATTGTTGCTGTTGCTGAAAATGAGTTTGAGGCGGAGGAAAGGCTTGTGGTTTCACCGGAGGAGAAGTGAAATCGCTGTCGTGAGTAGGAGGAAAAGCGTGTGCATTTACTGGAGTAGCGTAATCATCCTCGTCGTCATGAGGCGGAGGAAAAGAGTGAGGGTGGCGATGCGGCGGAGGAAACTGCTGTGGCTCATCTTCATCAGGATATAAGTCTTGAGGTTTATTCAGTGTGGAGCGTTGTTGGTGGTTTGGTGGTGGCGACGGCGCCGGCGCATCTCCGGGTTTTCCCATTTGGTTTGTAAAATCGATTTGCTTGGAACGTAGGGGGGAATGGATGGTAAGTAGTGCACTTTTAAATTGGAAGACAATGAATGAGTCGTTAATAAATTGGTGATGAGTAATTTATTTTGACGTCATCGTTACATACGCGTGGAAATCGAGTAGTTTGGTTCGAGCTTCTTGAGAATTCGATTAAACAAACTATTATTGAAAATTATGAAAATGGAACCATTGATTGTATTAACGAAAAAGGAATCAGATTGAACGAGAAATAATTTAACTTTAGCCCTTGTTTGGTTCTGAAAAAATCAATTTCTTGATCTTTATTTAATATGATCAATTGTCATTTTTGACCTTTTCACTTACAGGCGGAACTCACTTATTTCTCTAACAATCAAAAAATTGATTCTAAAACTTAGTCTAACTATTTGTTTGAATGTTCATCTTTTCTGTTTTAAGACCAAAAAGTCTTGAATTACTCTAAATACCTATTAATCAATTCGAATTCATCTTTATTACGATTTTATTTCTATATTATAAAAGTAATTTTAGGGAATCAATTTCATGTTTTCAATATTGAGCGACGAAAATATTGATTGAGAAGTGCTACACGTACATAATTGTTTACATAATGGTGTCCATAATTACACGTGGCACTGAATCTAATATTTAACTCAAATTTCACACTTTCACATCAACAATTGGATGATTGTCACATCACATTATGGACATCATTATGTGCAATAATTATGTACAAGTAGAATTTTCCAATATTGATTACTCAAAAGATGTGTTTGATTGACTTTATTTTTCATGAAAAATATTTTTTTCTACTCAAATTCCTAATTTTTGAGGTCTTTAATTGACATTTTTTTCACGAAAAATATTTTTTAAAAGTTGATCACCATCATGTTTTCCACAAAAATATTTTCTTTATGAGGAAGAGTGCATGTTTTTATTTTCTGAGCAATTCACTTTTTAAAAAATTCAACTTTATGAAAAAGTACAATTTATATAGGTTGAAAATTAAGTCAATTAAACACATTTAATTGATTATTTTTTATGCAAATAAGTTGTTTAGAACTTACTTTCTTTCCGTACAAGTTCCATGGTTGCAATCAAACGCACCATAAATATCTATTAATCAATGAAATTTCATCTTAATTATGATCAAATTTGAGAAATTATAAAAATTATATTTTTTGTAAATTGAACTAAAAACTCGATTTTGTAGCTAGAACCATCAATCGGATTAAAACGGTTTGATTTTTAATATCTAAATTCGAAAAATCTTAACTAGAAATGAACTAAATTGCTTAATCCAATTTTAAAATGGGCACTCTAGTTAAATATTCAAACCTCATTTGGTCCCATTTTTTCAAATTAAAAAGGGTAAAATGGTATTTTTAAGGACAATGAATAGTTGAAAAAGAAAGAAAAATTTTCGATTCATGTGTAATATTATTTTATGAAAGATTATATAATTAAAAATAGGAGAGAGAAAAATTTAATTTAATTTAATAGGGGTCAAACGAGAGCTCAATTTTATGTGATTCTATTAAGTTACGTTGTTAATAAGTTGATAGTGTTACCTACTAACTCCGATAAGTTATTTATATTTTTATATTAACATGAATTAGCATTAACATTAAAAAAATATATAAAGAAAAATGAAAAAAGAATCAGTCGACATACTTATAAACCAGTAGACTTTTTGTTTTTATCGGAGAAAAAAAATGGAATAATTGTACAAATGGGGACAGTGATGAGTTTTGACTTTGACTTCGGCAAAAGTTTACGCTACTGGTAACTGGAATATATAGCAAGTTGGCAAGTGATACAGTTGACCCATCTGTGTTTCACGTTACAATATTACAATTTGTCCGTTTAATATTTTTCCAACGTTAACGCTATGTTTTTTAATAATCTAATTGCAATGAAGCATTCTACCTTTCTATATTTTTCTATTTTTAGTCAGTTTAAGAATATTTTCATCATTTTTACAGTTTCTTATTATTATTTGGATTTATTAACTAAATTAGGGTTTCATTATGACTTTTTAAATATATATTAAGGGTTCGAAAAAACCGATAACCGTTTTTTGATGAATAATATTTCAGTTTTTCAATAATTTCGTTTTCTTGTGAATTTCAGCATTTTTCATGTCTGTTCGAGCAAAATTTAAATAAATACATGTTCTTGTGTTAAGAACAAAACCATTTATTATTATTATTATTCATGTGTTACGTCCCACGTAAGTGTTATTCCAACTTGATGGAGAATGTCTATTCAGAGGGTTAAAGGTCACGTGACAAATATGTGACGTCTAGCAGTACGAACCTTACGAGCTCTTGTGTTTAACACTTGCAAAATAATTTCAACGCATCACACATGGAATGTGTAGTGAAAATTTTACTATGGGTAGAGCTGCAAGAGTCTTACGGCCTCCACTATTAATGCATGAAAAATTAGACAGTCAAGATGTTGTAAGTCGAATGGGATGTGTGGCGTTTTATTAGTTCAAATAGACGTTTCCTTCAGGTCAGGATTGCACATTTACATTGTTAAATTATTGGGAACATAGACACTACAAATAGAAAGTTTTGGACATGAAAATCAGTTTTATAGAAGGTTGAGGATCCCTAGGGATATTTATCACAATTTATGAACCAAAAAAGAGCAAAATTGTTTAAATAAAGAGCACCATTTCTCGCGCATGAACTCAATTTATCTTTAGAGAGATAATTAACTAATAGATCGAGGGATAAGTAATTTGATTAATTCAGATTCAGATCACGAATGTTTGAAATTCATATTATGTAAGGAGAGATTGTTTTTGTCGATTCGAATTGAAGAGTGATATAAAATCTATTTATTTTTTCTACATCACAATTTTATGTTGAATCGTTCAAATATATTATATAATTGTGTTTGATCACATGGCCCACGATATTGCCAGCTTTTTCTCTAATCAGCTGCTAAATTTCTATAAACCATAAATTCCTCGAAGTTCCAAGCAATAATTATAATACTACAAAGAAATTAACCAGTAATTTGAACATGAATTAATTAAACTTTGATTTACCAGACTTTAACTTTAATTACATGTCATAAAATCAATAATTTTATTATATTTTCAATCACGCATATTCACCTTTTATCAAAATCTAATAAAACATTTATCAAAAGCTTTTGTCAAACAACTTCTAATTATCTTTTTAAAAGTAAATATTGAATAAATAAAAGGGCAATTATCCTGATATCACAATTTATTTTTTTATTACACCATTTAATTGTGCCAAAGTCTACAATTTGGTTAATTTGGTCTAGTGTTTCCACTTTTATTTTTATTCTCAATTTTTCATTAATTAGCACACAAGATCTTTGATGATGATTTTTGTTTAAATATACTATTACCATGGTTTGAAATACAGGATAAATATTTTGTCGTACTTTTGTTTTTTATTTATTTAAAATAATTGAGAGACATATAAGTATTTTCATGCCCTCCTACCAACTTTTTGGACAAAAACTATTATCAGAAATCAGTAGTAATTAATTAAAGGTCGAAAAATAAGGTTTAAACTTTTTCTTTCTTCCTTTGGATAATGGAAATTGCCATCCAATTGGATGTGTATGGACTAAATCATATTTGTATGTGACAATTGACTTGCTCAAATGAACATTATTTGCTTCTTTTTATTATTTTTATTGTTCAATAATGTACCATCTTTTTTACAAAAAATAAGTTTTCGATCATAAATATATCTTTCAAGAATTCCTCAATTTATCACAAGAGTCAAATTCTTGATCTCTAAACAAAATATATAAATTAAACATGACAACAAACAAAGATTTGACTTTGAGTTTTCATATTAATAATTTATGGAACCTTGCTAGAAATTTAGGGCCACACTCCAATAGAGGGTGCCAAATAGGCGCCTCGGAAATCCAGGGTCCATGCGGTCATGGATGAGGAGATTTATCCTAATATATGATCCCATCCTTTGCCCCATTGGAGTCGTCATTTGAAATTGTTGCTGCTGTGTCGCCACATTTACTAGCCACCTAACCAAAAGAAAAAGGTTATCACTTTAAAGGACTTAATTGAAATATAAAAAAAAAAAAAAAATCTTTAGAGAAAGAGAATTACGGCAACAAAGTATTAATTTTTGCTAAATTCTAATGTTCGACAAAACTATTAAAAACGTTTTACTATAAGAATAATGCTATCAAAAAATTATATTTTTAATGGAGTTTAAAGTTCAATCTATTACGTTTTACTAGAAGAAAAAGGCTATCAAAAAATTATATTTTTGATGTGATCCGCAACGTCAATTCCGATAGGGAAAGTTTCCAAAATTCACAAGTTGTTAGTTTTGGTTAGAATTCTTTATTTTTGGTAATTTCTATATTCTTAGGAGTTTTATTTTTTTTAGAATTCTTAATTTTGGTAACTTTTATATTTTTAGAGTTTTATTCCTTTTCAAACTGCTTGCTAGGTTTTTAATATAAATAGATTTATTTTTCCATTGTAATACAGAAGACTTTTATAATGGATTATTGAATGAATTTTCTTTCGAAGCTTTGCTTCAAAATACCCAACTTATCAAGATTTGATATCTTATGGCGTTCAAACAAAACATCGGGTGTGAATCATTGAATTGTGTAATAAAAGTTTCTTCGCATCGTCGTTATCACTGTGTTGTTTGATTCATTAATTCTTTGGGTCAAATCCATAAATTCGGAGGAGATTTCAAGATTGTGTGATTAAGAGGTCGTTCGTTTTATGTACGTAAGGTTGCTTGGTTCACTTTTACGGGTCGATTCCTAAATCTTGATCATTATTTGGGCGTTCTTGGAATTCGTTATCAATTCCTGTGGATCGATAGTAACCTTGCTAACTGTGTTCGCATCATTTGGTATCAGAGCTAAGGCACCAAGATCAATGTTATATCGTTTTATTTTTTTATTGAGTCTTTGTTTTCTTCAAGTTTCTGTAAATTTTTTCGGTTTGTTGAGTCTTATATCCAAAATCTTTAGTAAGCTAGTTGTCTTTGTGTTTTGAAAAAAAAAATATTGTTCATCTGTATGGTACAAAAAAATTTGAGTCAAAAAAGGGGAAAAAAGAGTAAAAAGGGGGGGGGAAAAGAGTGAAAAAAAAAAGAGT